CTTTTTTTTTTTTTTTTTTTTACATCAGGGAAAAATAAATTCATTAACTTAATTTCAACAGACATTTGTATACTTGATGGAAGGGACCGAAAACCAAAGATGTAGGGTGCAGTCAATGGTGTGCTCTTTCTACCTGGATTACAACAGCCATTAAATTCACAAAGGGAAATAATTAACTAGACTCAGATGCAGACTTGTGAGTTGCTGAATCACAAAATGCTACGCCAGGGTTTTAAAAATTAACAGTATATATCCAGTCACATTGCTCTCCCTAAAATGTTAGTATTAATTGCTTTTACTAAGGGCAAAATTTAGTACCATCGATAAAAACCTAAGGAGCTCTGGTAGCATAGTGCCTAAGGCACTTGACTGCTAACCAGAAGGCTGGCGGTTCAAACCCACCAGCCACTCTGGAAGGAAGATTGGGCACTCTACTTCTGTAAAGATTTACTGCCTTGGAAACCCAGTGGGGGTCACTATGAGTCAATCAACTCAATGGTAGTGGGTTTGGTTTTTGGTTTTGGTTTATTACTCAGTAAGTTGGCTTGATAACATGTTTAGTGCTTCTGTTATACTTCCCAGTTCTTTGCATAGTGCCTGACATCTTAGAAGCTTGCAAGTGGCCATCAAGGCACAACAGTTGGTCTCTATTTGCTTATGGCAACAGAGGAAGGAGAGTCAGGAATGGGAAGTATGGAATGTGTGGCTAATTGCTCCCATGAACAACTGCCTCCTTTGCCATGAGACCAGAAGAACTGGATGGTGCCTGGCTGCCATTACTGAACATTTTGGTCAAAGAGTCTATACAAGAAACTGATCAAAAAGGGGGAAATGCAGAACAAAATTCCAAATTCTTATGGACTCCAGATTTTCTGTAGCCAGGGAAGCTAAATGAACCCTTGAAACTATCACCCTGAAATAGTCTTTAACCCTTAGACCAAAAATATCCCATGAAGTCTTCTTAAAACTATAGTGTACCACAAGAGTAAAGGCAACAAAGATAAATACTATTACATACACAGTCCTGCAATAACAGTAATAATAATCTACAAATGGAAATAGACCTGAAGTTGAACAGAGGTGGGAAGGCAATTAGGACTATACCCACAAATATAAGCTTGACAGAGGATGTTTGTGTATGTGTATTTATATTGCTGCAAATATATCCATGAATATAGTAGAGCATATTGGAGGCAAAGATAACATATTTGGTACAGGGTCAACAGGGGCAAGAAAGACCCTCAGTGAGATGGATTGGCACAATAGCAGCAACAATGAACTTGAACATTTTGGCAATTGTGAGGATTATGTAGGACCTGGCAGTGTTTTGTTCTCTTGTACATAAGGTGGTCATGAGATGATTTGATGACAACTAACAACAAATGTTGATTAGGCTGGAAATAAATGTTGCTCTCCTTACACAGTGAGAAGGGAGGCTTATAAAAGAAAGATCAAATATGCTTATTCTGGTTACCTAGTGCCGCTCTGACAAGAATATACCACAAATGGGATGGTCTTAAGAAAGAGGAGTTTATTCTCTTACAGTTTGGAGGCTTTAAGTCCAAGTTCAAAGTGCCAGGCTCTAGGGGTTGGGTGAAA